GTATAAAAACACTTCGATAACGTATTTATCGTGGTACTGGCTAGTATAAAATTATCAAAGTGAAAAATGATTATCACCGATAAAAAATTATTTTTTTTATCATTAATGTTATAAAATTCAATGTGTGACTGTTTGATAAAATGTCATAGTAGCTATTGAAAAAATAATTACTCGACTAAATGTTTAATTTTTTAAAAGTCTGAAATCCATAATCATTTTCAAATAAAACTTACTGGTCTCAATTGTGTATAATCGCTAACTAATAATAGTTATTATTTTTAAATTTATTTTATAGGTTAAAGTACTGTATATTATTTTAGCTTCAGATTGTTTTTCTAATGATGTTAAAATTATATATTTTTCAAGTTGTAATAATTATACAATAATACAGCAAATATTGTTTTTAACTTAGCGAAAAAAAACTAATCCTTGAAGAGAAAAAATAAATTAAAATATCGTTATGTGGTTGATATACATTTTGATTTATACATTTTAACTATCAATATTATGTCCTGTGCTTGTCTCAGGACAAAAAATACCTAAAAAATAATACATTAGTACCTACAAACGATTTGTTGCATACTGCTACATGTAAAATTTGTTCAGTTTTTGTTTTGTTCATACCAATAATAATATTAGTTAATGTTAGGTGGTTGATATTTACTCCATTACTCGTAGTCACTGAGGTGTTTTGCTGCCTCCGCTCTTGTTGAACGTTTATTGAATGTACAACTTGTACAACTGGTAAAACTAGCTATTACCCGCGAATATGTCAATTTGTCCGCGTAGTAATGTAAACAGAGATTCCATTACAGTTTAAAAAACAAAAAAAAGACGGCTTCTCTGCAAGATTTATGAATGGTAAATAGATTATTAATATAAATACATTTTCCTAAAACAAAACTCTCAACAGACAGAAATACCGTCATAGATATTTCTAACTATTCTTATTAGCTAACTTAAAAATACGAAAATGATTGTTCTCTTTTTAATTGGTTAGGGGTTGTATTTTTAGAAAACTAGTCAAGCATGTTATTAATTTTATTAATTATTATGTTATAAGAATGAATATTTCAAGATTACATTATTATTTATAGATAAATAATTGTCTATTTCACTGTATCATAAAAGAAGAAAAACCGAACTTTTGATACGACACAGACCTTATACATAAGGTAAATGATGCATTGATGCGCACGCGCAAATATCTCGCAACTACTCCTCTGAGAAACTGAAAATGAGGCTTGTATAGTTTCTGCGTTAGGATGTATAATGGCTGTAATATGACTGTGGTACTAAAACAATGGCAAAGTTAAGATTTGTTTACTTGCAATTTTACTTGTACAAATGACGACATTTTTTTTTATGGGTTCAATCTGGTTTATTTTACATAATACATGCTTATATGAAATCTTCGACGGTCATGTAAACCGCTTGACTGTCTTGAGCATAGGCCTAACATATGAAGTCAGTGGTCGTCACTCAAAATAAATGGCTGTCTGTATTGTAGTAAACACTTCAAAATGATACGTCGACTGGTGATTCGTTACACTAAGCGGTTGATTCTCTCGCCAGTCATCACTTATTAGCGACCTGACGTCTGAGTATAACCATATAAAGATTCATTGACATAGTAGACTTTGTGATAAAACAATTAAAAAACCTACTTGTGTATATTGTAACAATTCATCGAAACCTACGCATCCTTATACCTGCTCCTTACATTGTGAGCAACAAACTTCTTGCGAACTTCAAGCAGTATACCGAGGTAAGTGATTATTTCCAGATTTTCGTAGTAGAACACTAAAGAACACTAAGTAAAAAATATAGGTAGATGCTAATAAATTAATAAAAAAAATAATCTCGTGCGGTAGGTAGCTGCCGGTCAATATTAAACATAATACGTTTTTATATTAGTATGCATATGTATATGTTGAGACTATGACCGTATAATAAACACGTACACACACAGAACGTTATACACACATATTAATCGACGGACAAACCGCCGTGTATCCGTATTTTACATACTACGCAGTAAAAATGTTTAGCACCATATGTTATATTTAATACACACTACCCAACAATAGGCCATAAAACTCCCTTTATTCATAATATAATATACATTCATTCAAACTCTTACTTTCATTTCTAACGGATAACATGACGAGCGCGTTATTATTAGTAAATTAGTTGAAAAAAACTCTTCTAAAACTCGTCCAGTGACCAAATAGATTATTATTATATTATATTATAATTATTGAAATCATTTATCACAATTTTTTAACAAACCGTGGATTGTGGTTTATGACTATTCTATCATGTAACTACTGATTACAATATAAATCAAGATATTTGATACATTCGTGTGTTTATATTCATAAATGTAACTGTTTCTAGTAAATAATAATACAGTCGGAAGACGTTTAGATTAAATTAGCAGTAAAACATGAAAAATAACAGTAAAATATTTTAAACCCTTATTTTAATATATGTAGTATAGTAATCAATTAGTGTTAATCAATTGATAGGTGTACATTGTATACTTATAAATTGATTAATTTTATTTTTTCTATTTACCCCATAAAACCTGGATTCTTGAATGTCTCGATAAGAGTATCTATACCTATCTAAATATTGAACCAATAACAAAAAAGATGTCCAGGATAATGGGGATGGGTGCAGCCACTGTAATATGTGAGAAATTGGGATTGTAATAGAGGGGAAATTTAATGTATGTCTGTAATGAACGATAGAGCTTTGCTAATGAAAAACTGATTCTGAGAAGAGTTCGGTTGATAGTGTTGCTTTGTCAACAATATATATATACATATATCATGATATGATAAAATAATTATTTATGCATTAATTATATATTTCCTTTAATATTGTACCGTTTTTCCATGTTTTTTCTCAGTTTTTCCAATTTATTGGGAAAAAACCTAGGGAAATCAAAAAAGTGACATCCTTAAAGTACCTCCCCAGTCAGATTTCCTTTTAGAAAAAATTTTATCAACTTTAGAATAACAGTATTTGAGGTCTTGAGTCATAATATGGGTACCCATGAACGAGTAAATTACAATTTTACAAACCATGTTTAAAAATGTTTTAGAAGACTGAAATTTGTCACAAAGATACTATCCTCAATGTACATTTCTCAATGAAAATATTTTGGATATTGCCCGTTTCAAAACCTAAACAAGAAAGACGTTATTCAAGCTTTAAAATAATCAAAACGTATTTGAGAAATTTTATGAAAGGGGTAATTTATTTATTTAAAATGTATTTTATAATAAATTAAATTTATATTTTTAATTTACATTAAGATGAGGTTAAACGGTTTAGTAGTAATGTCTATAAATCGAAATATTCAAATAAAAACTGACTAAGTCATCGATGAGCTTGCGTTGAATCCAAGGAAATTAGACATCGGGTGAAGGAACTTCAAAGTAAATCAAAATTGACTTTCTTTTTCACCAACTAGATGAAAATTTCAATGGAAAAGAAATTCTGTTGATTTTCTATTGTAACAATATTTCTGGTAGGAAGTAGAAAGCGTAAACATTTAAAATAATGGAATTTTCACAACATACATTTATCATTTATCATTTTTTTTTTCCAGTTTTTTGTCAATATTACTTAATTAAATGTAATATAGTAGTTTTTTATAAGCTTTTTAGATCATATTTTGATAAAAATCGTAAACATTTCAGCATTCAAAACATGTACCTAAAACTGAATTTCTTTGAGAATCATTTTTTATTCCTAAGTATAATATTGCTTAAAGTTATAAATTAATTTATTGTGTACTTTATCTTCGAATGTTCACACCTACAACAGTTACCCAACCATAAGCAGTTTCAGTCAATATGTATAGTAGATAGTACAAAGTGACTGTTCACTGACTTTAATGTATGTATAATACATTAAAATTTTGAGAATAATATTATTTACAAAATAACTGTTTTTAATTTTTTTTCTATTTATCTGATTAGGGGAGGAAATTACCAATTTGAATTTTTCCCAAAGTAAGTACAAGATAAACTATTAAAAAAAATCAATTTTAAAAATGTAAATATTTACTAAAAAAGCTAACGTAGGATAATAAAGACGGGTGCAGCCACTGTTGTAGATGAGTAATTGAAAAAGTAGAAAACAGACACAGAAGGGACTTTAATGCATAGGTATACATACATTATAAATGAATAAAAAACATTATGTTCTATTTTGGTTAAGTAATTTTTATAATTTTAAAAGTTAAAAAGAAGCTGTCCTAAGATAATCAATTTATGGTTGAAACGTTGGAAAGTAAGTGGAAGGAAATTTTAATGTATATTTGACGTAAACAACAATAATCTATTGCTAACGAAAAAAATAATATAAGTTCAGTTCGGTTTAGAGTGTTACATTGTCAAAAAAATATCCTATATAAATGTAAAAAAATTAAATAGGCACTAATTATTTTTTTATTACATTTGTTAATAATTGTACCTGCTTTCCGGTTTTCCAGTTTTATTCCGGTTTTTCTAATACATTAGAAAAACTCCATAGAAAAATAAAAAGGCCATAATATTTTAAATAGTTTATTTTGATTTTTTTCATTTAAAAGGAAAATTCATAAAAAAATTGAAAAATAACGTTCGTATTCCGATTTTCTTTCAGATACATTGCTAGACTTAAAAAATCAGAGCAAGATTTCTAAAAGAAATAATATAATCAAAAAAAAAAATATAAAAAACAAATTCAACGTCATTGAAAAATAATGGATTTAATCATAAATAATATACATAAATTGTTAATATAAAACTTAACAAAGTTCACAAAAAAGAATATAAAAATAGAAAAAAAAAGTTTCACCTTCAAACAAAATTGGTATTTAACGAGGGCGAAACAATATGATATCCTGCAAAAAAAGTACCTGGAAGAAAATAATATGCGATCAAATTTTTGTACAAAATAATACATATCGTAAATTGTTAATTACCATATTCCCCGTCAACTCAGTGTGATTGATTTAAACAATTAAAATTGGACTTCATGAGGAAGGAGAGGGGCTTTACTTTTAAATACCGAGCAACATTCGCGGTTAAACCGAAAGCCTCTGTATTAGAGAGACCAGAGTTTGGTGACAGCGGTCGTAGAAACCCATTGATGATTTCTGCCGATAATCTATGATTATCTGTAATATATTAATCAAAAATATTTCATTACAATTAAAGAATTTGTTTTATTCATCGGAATATTTTTATTATATTCTGGAAGTTAGAGGTTTNCTCCGGTATTTCAACTTTAACAGTTGCGTCTAAATCCCCTGCATAGGGGAGGCCAGAGTTTGGTGACAGCGGTCGTAGAAACCCATTGATGATTTCTGCCGATAATCTATGATTATCTGTAATATATTAATCAAAAATATTTCATTACAATTAAAGAATTTGTTTTATTCATCTGAATATTTTTATTATATTCTGGAAGTGAGAGGTTTCCAAATTGTTTTTCTTTCTTTTATCTGTTTAAAATTCTAGTCTATCGTAATTTTAATTTATTACTCTTTTAAATCGTTGAAAGTCTATATTTCTTTTAAAAAATATACACATCTATTTCACATAGGGATCAACAATCACAGCAAAACACGCAAAATCGCTATCCATATCAGTACTTTATCTTCGTTAATCATAATAAAACGATGGAATTTAATATATTTTTATGAAAACAGACCTTTATTTCGTCAACTGGTAATACTTTGTACTCGGATTACCATAATCGGAACTCATGGAAGTACAATTAGTAACACAAATGACGTTTTGGTAGGAAAATTAATCTGATTTCACACACATTTTTTAAATTTATTTACGATATATAACGTCAAATCAGGAAAAAATTACCATTGTCTTCAACTTTCGTCCGGTATTTCAACTTTAACAGTTGCGTCTAGGTAACCAAAAAATAATTATTGAAATAAATTGAAAATCGTTTTATGATGCCATGCAAATTTAACTTTAATGAACACTTACGAATAGAACGATGAAAATGTTTTATAANTTAAAAAATATACACATCTATTTCACATAGGGATCAACAATCACAGCAAAACACGCAGAATCGCTATCTATATCAGTACTTTATCTTCGTTAATCATAAATCAACGATGGAATTTATATATTTTTATGAAAACAGACATTTATTCCGTCAACTGGTAATACTTTGTACTCGGATTACCATAATCGGAACTCATGGAAGTACAATTAATAATACAAATGACGTTTTGGTAGGAAAATTAATCTGATTTCACACACATTTTTTAAATTTATTTACGATATATAACGTCAAATCAGGAAAAAATTACCATTGTCTTCAACTTCCTCCGGTATTTCAACTTTAACAGTTGCGTCTAAATCCCCTGCATAGGGGAGGCCAGAGTTTGGTGACAGCGGTCGTAGAAACCCATTGATGATTTCTGCCGATAATCTATGATTATCTGTAATATATTAATCAAAAATATTTCATTACAATTAAAGAATTTGTTTTATTCATCTGAATATTTTTATTATATTCTAGAAGTTTGACGTTTAAAAAATGGTTTTATTTCCTTTATCTGTTTAAAATTCTAGTCTATCGTAATTTTAATTTATTACTCTTTTAAATCTTTAAACGTCTATATTTTTTTTAAAAAATATTCACATCTATTTCACATAGGGATCAACAATCACAGCAAAACACGCAGAATCGCTATCTATATCAGTACTTTATCTTCGTTAATCATAATTCGACGATGGAATTATTATATATTTTTATGAAAACAGACCTTTATTCCGTCAACTGGTAATACTTTGTACTCGGATTACCATAATCGGAACTCATGGAAGTACAATTAGTAACACAAATGACGTTTTGGTAGGAAAATTAATCTGATTTCACACACATTTTTTAAATTTATTTACGATATATAACGTCAAATCAGGAAAAAATTACCATTGTCTTCAACTTCCTCCGGTATTTCAACTTTAACAGTTGCGTCTAAATCCCCTGCATAGGGGAGGCCAGAGTTTGGTGACAGCGGTCGTAGAAACCCATTGATGATTTCTGCCGATAATCTATGATTATCTGTAATATATTAATCAAAAATATTTCATTACAATTAAAGAATTTGTTTTATTCATCTGAATATTTTTATTATATTCTAGAAGTTTGACGTTTAAAAAATGGTTTTATTTCCTTTATCTGTTTAAAATTCTAGTCTATCGTAATTTTAATTTATTACTCTTTTAAATCGTTGAAAGTCTATATTTNAAAAAATCTCAGTAGTATTTTCGTTCACAGTTCAATTGTAAAAATGTACTCGGATTATCATAGTCGGAACTAAGGGAAGTATTATTCATATCACCATTGACGTTCTTGGTGGAAAAATCAACCGGATTCCAGACACTTTTATCTGTTTACATTCTAATCTCAACATTTAAATTTATTACAATTTTAAATTTTTGAAAATCTATGTTTATATTATAAAATATACACATTTTTTTCACATATGAATCAACAATCACAGAATAACACGCAGAATCGCTATTTATATCAGTGTTCTATGTTCGTTAATCATAATTCAACGGTGGAATTTTATATATTTTTAAGAAAACAGATCATTATTAGGTTAATCGGTTATTCTATGTTTGTCGGCATTCATATGTCAGTATATTTCAGTATAGGCCGTTTCATTTACCAAACCACAGTTATTTGTAAAAATACATTAATAGTATGCAGATGAAAAATATATCAGGAGTATTTTCGTTCACAGTTCAATTGTAAAAATGTACTCGGATTACAATAATCGGAACTCAGGGAAGTATCATTCATATCACTATTGACGTTCTTGGTGGCGAAATCAACACGATTCCACACACTTATTTTCAATTTGCTTATGAAAGATAACATTAAACCGATAGTAAATTACCGTTGACTTCGACCGCTTCCGGATTTTCAACTTTCACGGTTGCATCGAAACCTTCTATATAAAGGAGGCCAGAGTTCGGTGCAACCGATCTTAGAATCCCATTGAAGTTGTCTTTATTTCGTCAACCGGTAATACTTTGTACTCGGATTACTATAATCGGAACTCATGGAAGTACAATTCATAACACAAATGACGTTCTTGGTAGGAAAATTAATCTGATTTCACACACTTTTTTTAAATTTANCATTGTCTTCAACTTCCTCCGGTATTTCAACTTTAACAGTTGCGTCTAAATCCCCTGCATAGGGGAGGCCAGAGTTTGGTGACAGCGGTCGTAGAAACCCATTGATGATTTCTGCCGATAATCTATTATTGTCTGTAATTTAATAATCAAAAATATTTCATTATAATTAATAATTTTGTTTTATTCATTTGAATATTTTCATTATATTCTAGAAGTTTGTAGTTTTTAAAATGGTTTATTTTGTTTTATCTCTTTCTTATTCTTATAAATCGAAATTTAAATATATTACTATTTTAACATTTTTACGTCTATGTTTATTTAATAAAATTTACACATTTTTTTCCCGCAGGGATCAACCATCACAGCACAACACGCAGAATTGCTATTTATATCAGTGTTAAATGTTCGTTAATCATAATTCATTAATGGAATTTAAATTTTTTTATGAAAATACACCTTTATTTGGTTAATCGGTAATTTTATGTTCGTCGCTTTTCTTGTGTAAGTATATTTCAGTATACACTGTCCCATTTACCTAACCACAGTTATTTGTATAAATACAATAATAGTATGCAGATGAAAAAAATCTCAGTAGTATTTTCGTTCACAGTTCAATTGTAAAAATGTACTCGGATTATCATAGTCGGAACTAAGGGAAGTATTATTCATATCACCATTGACGTTCTTGGTGGAAAAATCAACCGGATTCCAGACACTTTTATCTGTTTACATTCTAATCTCAACATTTAAATTTATTACAATTTTAAATTTTTGAAAATCTATGTTTATATTATAAAATATACACATTTTTTTCACATATGAATCAACAATCACAGAATAACACGCAGAATCGCTATTTATATCAGTGTTCTATGTTCGTTAATCATAATTCAACGGTGGAATTTTATATATTTTTAAGAAAACAGATCATTATTAGGTTAATCGGTTATTCTATGTTTGTCGGCATTCATATGTCAGTATATTTCAGTATAGGCCGTTTCATTTACCAAACCACAGTTATTTGTAAAAATACATTAATAGTATGCAGATGAAAAATATATCAGGAGTATTTTCGTTCACAGTTCAATTGTAAAAATGTACTCGGATTACAATAATCGGAACTCAGGGAAGTATCATTCATATCACTATTGACGTTCTTGGTGGCGAAATCAACACGATTCCACACACTTATTTTCAATTTGCTTATGAAAGATAACATTAAACCGATAGTAAATTACCGTTGACTTCGACCGCTTCCGGATTTTCAACTTTCACGGTTGCATCGAAACCTTCTATATAAAGGAGGCCAGAGTTCGGTGCAACCGATCTTAGAATCCCATTGAAGTTGTCTTTATTTCGTCAACCGGTAATACTTTGTACTCGGATTACTATAATCGGAACTCATGAAAGTACAATTCATANTAATTTGTTTACGAAATATAACGTTAAATCCATAATAAATTATGACGTCGAACACCCCCAGAATTTCAACTTTCACGTTTGAGTCGAAAGCTTCTGTTTTAAGAATGCCAGAGTTCTGTGCATCCGGTCGCAGAAACCCACTGATGGTATCTTCCGTTAAGCTATAATTATCTGTAATTTTATTATCAAAACTATTTCATTACAATAAAAGGATTTGTTTTATTATTCTGTGTATCAGTGATTACTCTATTGATAATAAATATTGTGATTACTATTCACAATATCTTGCATGTACTATTGTGCAGTTTATAATGTTGTAAATTGTTAGTAATTATAGTTACGAATTAAAAATTGTATTTTAAATGAGCTATGAAAACAATATATCATATTCAAAAAAAAAAAATACTATACTTTGACTTATGAATAAAATATAATGAAATACGTAATTTTTATGAGTCTTGATTGTTTTTTCAATATGCGTTATATATGAATTAATTTTAAACAGTTTAAAAATTTTTTTCATAAACCTTGTTTAACTTAACTACCTCCACCTTACTAAACACTGTCCAAAATTAGATGTTTTCCAAATTCATTAATTTTAATTATACGAAGTTTATTACTAAAATAATACGATTTTTTTCCTGTGCACTACTTTTGTACCGGCAATTTTGCGCGAACTTATAATGATAGCAATGTTTTTAAAAGGAAGTTTTGATATAGAGGTGAAATTAATGTATATCTGTCAGCAAAGATTAATCATTGCTAACAAAAATAATTCTGTGCGGTTCTCGGTTAATAATATTGCTTTTTCAACTATGTATATGTCATATTATACAGGTAAAACAAATATACTATATTGAATACGACGAATTACATATAAAGTAAACATATATTGTGCAAAAACCACCCGACATGGTTTTTTCAAATACAATTTTTTTGGATCTCAGGTTTGAACTCACGACCTCAAGGTTGACAACAAGTACGATTTTTGACAATATTTGACATTAAAAATAAAAAATACTTCATTAAGCACAATTTTTTTTTTTAACCGCTAGCTACCCTTTTTAATGAACCTTCTGTGAAATTTGTTAGTCTTAGAGTTTTATCACAGAGTAATTACTGAAAAAAATAATATACAAAACTCACAAAATTAAAATGTTATCAATAGGTGTTAAAAATAGCTAAACTTTATTGAACATTTTTCCATATCTAAAAAAAGACAAAAACAGCTTTCTCTCGAAATTTAAATTCTCTACGAATATTTTTAATTAGATTTCAACAAAATAAATTACACAATTGATAATAGTAATAATTTTTTCATAGTTTTTTCCGTTGTAGATTCTGCTCAAGCAAGGAATGCATTGGTTTTACATTATATTTATTTTTTTTTTCTGTGGACAACTTTTCTACTAGTAATTTTGCTCCAATTTACTATGATTTACTACATTTTTTTAAAGGAAATCTCGATAGAGAGGTACTCCCTTGAGATCATCTTTTAATTTTCCCGGGAATTTTTCCAATAAATAAAAAACACCATAAAGAACGTAGAAAAAATGAAAAAATATGTACCTACCTTAAAATGGGGTAACTATTATAATGTGTGGTAACTTTGGTAATAGATATTATTTTATTAAAACATTGTAATAAACAGTTGATATCATTGTTTGTTTGGTATGTTATTTTTTCATGTAATTCAACAGGTCAACTATCAAAAATTGGTTTTAGATAACCGTTCTTATCAATATTTATTTATAATACACTGTTATTAAATGTGCCTACAATAACGAAAACTTTCTTTTCATATTTTTCATATATTTCATATATTTGAGATTTATATTATTCAAAAATGACTAGCCATAGTGAAAAATTGAATATGATTTTAATTTTTAACGATGACCGATGATTATTTTTTGTAATAAATTAATTCAAATAAAATTCTAAAACGGAAATATTTCGTGTTACCATTTAAGTGAAACACACTGTATACGAGAAATGCAATTTCATATTTCAAACGGAAATAATATAATAATTGTAATAAATAAAACATAAAACTCACGTGATCGATTATATGATGTATCGGACGAATAACCATCAGAAGTCCACTTCATCTTCTTCACGGTATCCGGTTTCAAATTCTGTGATAAACTTCTCTTTTCTTTTTTTTCAAATCGTTATGTTCCCATTAAAACGATAAAAACAAAATATAGGTAAATTAGGTTAGGTTAGGTTAGGTTAACTAATAAATAGTTCATATGGTAATAGTAATATAGATATTTTGTGCTGGTACAAAATTTTATTCAGGATATAATGTTAGATTATAAAAAGCTGTACTAGGATAATTGGGACGGGTAGAGCCACTGTTATAGGTAATTTAATGTACATATTTAAACAAAGGTAAACCATTGCTAACCAAAAAATATTCTGAGCGGAATTTGACTGATAGTGTTGCTTTATCAACAATATATATGTCATATTATGATAAAATAATATATATTATTATTAATAATATGTACATATATTTTACATATTTTCTTTAATTATATTCTTTAATATTGTACCTATTTTTCCGTTTTTCCCATTTACTGGGAAAACTTCGGGGAAAATCAAAAATTAACTCCTTTAAAGTACCTCTCCAGTCCGATTTCTTTTTAGAAAAATCACTATCATTGAAAATCGGAACGATATTGCTGATAGAAAATTTGTCCACAGAAAAAAAAAATTAAATAATTAAACATTATTGTAAAACCATAAGCTTCTTCGCTCCACTCAGAAACCAAAACTGCCTATACTACTGCCTGTTTCTTTGCGATATATTAGATTTGCGTTATTTGAATGGAAAACTATGTATACGAAAAATGCAATTTCACATTTCAAACGGAAATAATATAATAATTGTAATAAATAAAACATAAATCTCACGTGGTCGATTATATGATGTATCGGACGAATAACCACCAGAAGTCCACTTCATCTTCTTCACGGTATCCGGTTTCAAATTCTGTGATAAACTTCTCTTTTCTTTTTTTCAAATCGTTATGTTCCCATTAAAACGATAAAAACAAAATATAGGTAGTAAAATAATAATAATATAGGTATTGTGTACTGATGTTTTTATTCGGGCTATAATGTTAAATGAATAAAATTACCGATACTGCTGATGGATGTGCCATTGTTCACGGAGGGAATTTAGTGGGAAATATAATATAGAGTAATTTGATTTATATTTCGTAAGTATATATTTTTTTCTCCTTGTTTATTACTAAGGTAACCCAGAAATCAACAAAAATTGTGACAAAAACTTCTAGTTTTTTCGATTTATTTAAGAAAAAAAAACTGACTTCCTCAATGCGCCGACAATCATAATATTATGACGCGTGTGCCATCATTCGGGACTAGATTTTTGGTATAATGGAATATTGAACCATAGTGTTTATCGTAAAACACGGTCATTGGGTATGCTACCCCGAACGAAATCCGTACATACACACTTGTATAGAATATAGAATAGGTAATAGAATTACACAGCTCAATAACTCGAGACGCAAAAAACAAAAGAAAGCGAAGATTGGACTAGATACCCGGGCGCGTCATCCCCGTTTTACATCGAACGCACGATATACCCAGCCGACGTTTAATAATAAATAAATATTTATTACGGCTTCAACAATATAAAGTTATTAACCGGGAAGAAAAATCAATTTACATTTTACATTTTACGTTGAATTATGTACATTCATCAATCATTGTAATAATCATATAACGTTCTATTAAAATGTTAAAAATTATAATAATCATAAAAAGAAAAAAACACTTACGACGATCCATGATGTCGACAAGTCCAATATCGCAACTAAGAATAATCGCAATAAATTCGAAATGCTTAAATTCCAGATAATGATATATCAGGAAAATATTTCAACTGTACAGATTGTAACTGAGGCGCGTAAATCGATTTGAAATGCAAAAAAAAATATCAACCAAAAATATCCACTCGTAACAATGACAGAATACGTGACGTTCGAATAGATATAAACTAATTTTTCGCGTTAATTACACCTGGGCAACCAAATAAATAATTATAAATATAAATATCCGATGTTTTGATCGTCATGCTATGAATTAAATTGATATCAATTGATATCAAAAAATAATTATTGAAATAAATTGAAAATCGTTTTATGATGCCATGCAAATTTAACTTTAATGAACACTTACGAATANTATTTTTTATTAAATGTATAATTGTACAATAGTATTTATCAATGGCCTCGAATGATCACACAATTATTATTGTAAACGAATCATCAAATTTTTTAAATTTTATATCTCACTCATGGTTTCCTTACGTTTTACCATATTAATATTATATTAGATTCTGAAAACATGTGCGTTAAATAAATTAAGATAACTCAGTAAATATGTGAAAAAAATACCAAGTATATCCGACTAAAAAAAATGTAATATTTATTTAAAGTTTTATAATAGGTATAAAACAAAAATTATAAATGTTAAATGTTATTTATCAATTTGAAAAATAATTATTTTCATGTAGCAATAGAAAATAGAAATGGGTCGGGATAGACAGACTTGTTCAATTCTTTTCCACCAAAGAAATCTTACAACAATTTCTGTACTTTGGGGATACGAGTAGATCCAACCAACCACCAACCAATACAATGTCACTGATGGTAAATTTCTCAACTTTGGTGGTATGCTTGCCAGGGTGGGAAATTACAGAACATGCTTCAAACGTCTCAACGCTCTCTTACTGGTAGTTAAATATTTTTGTTCTCGCGTTTAAACTCTTGAACAAAGTGATTTACTATCCTTCTGTCAAAATCTTCACCTCCCAAATGGGAGTCTCTAGCTGTGGACTTCACTTAAATGTTCCACTGTAACATTGTATTTTTTAAAATAAATGTGAGAAATTTAGGAACTGTGTATTGATTGCGGTTTTTATGTTACCTCGAGAATGTGAATACGTACTTTGATACTTCGTAAAATTCTACATTTCCAGTACGAAAAGCCTCTAACTTTCGTAAATTAACTAATGCTTTGAATATATTTAGGTAACTTTTAGTAGCGTTTCGATCAAATTTGACGTTCTGAGTCACCTAATTAAGGTTCACTGGTAACTATGTTATTGTTTAAGTAGAAAATCCAGCTTAAGTCGTTGAATCCCATTGGAATGGTGTTCCGCCTTTTTCTCGTGAAATATTATTTTTGGTGCCATCCATGTTATGATCATTTTTCAAGTACGTATCTGTCATTTCCAATAAATGCATCATCTATGTACGCAACAGGTGTTTCCGGTAAGAGCAATCTGTACCATATGAATACCGTCGATCATTTATTCTCCAAATTTCGTTATAGGATGTCCCGCATCATGATTTCAAATCTATATATTTCATAAATATAGGTACCTATTTTAATACTATCAAAATAGTTTTTGTCGTATGAAATTGGTTTGAAAGGTTAAAAAAAAATTGTTTTAAGTATTATTCTAATAATAATTGTGATTACGTAAGAACCAAATTGGCCATGCTCCTAGTGTAGATTTAAACAGACTTTCGTTAAGCCCATGTATGAATGGTTCCACAAGGCAATGTGCGCGTCCTCCAAGACAAAAATTAAGCATAATGTAGGTGACAAGATGTGTTGAATTTTAAAACAAATTTTGAAGCAAATCTATATCGCCATAAATTTTAATTACCATTATTTTATTACATACATACTACATAATTATCGTTTTAGTGTCATAGGTATGGAATGTATAACTTATATTGCAAGATATATATAATAATAACATAGATATAGAATATTATATATCTTATATATTCGTGTAATATAAATTATAGAATTATTATGTACTTGGTTTCAGAATTTTTCTTTATTGTATTCGTCTATACGACTCTCCAATATTTTTATCGTACGATTCGTCGAGACACTTTGTATACCCAAATCTTTGTTGATTTTCAGAGATTTTTGGGTTCAGAGGTACGTCTATTAAATTTTGTCTTTCGTACAAACATCCGGCGGCATTTATTCGAAATCCATCCAAACCTTTATCCAACCAAAACCTTAAAACATCCTAATAAATAATACTAACTTTAAAATTATTAATTTTTCAGAAATATGGTTTTTTTCATTATATTAGTTACTTTTATTTCTTTCATTTTCAAAAAAAAATGAAAATGCACATTATAGTAAAATCAATATATTCTCCGCTACGCTCCGAATCATAAAGAAATTAACGAAATTCAATTAATTGATCATCTCCGGATTACCAGAGCTATGAGTGAATTTTTACAATCCAAATAACAATAGAGCATAAGAATATTGCTGTGAAAACTGCCTAATGTATAATACTATGAATATGTTACATGAATTGAAATCTCAATATGCCAAGTATTTATGCGATACAGGGTTTATTAAAACATCAAACTACACAGAACCTGAATATAATAACCACTCTAACAACGCAAAACTATTGAAATATGTTCTTGCTACTAGTTTATGCCCAAAAATTTCGGATTTCAAGTATCTAATTTAAATACTTATGACTTTTTTTTTCATCGGTGAGTTTTAATTATTTTACTTTATTTTTGAGTTCTGAAGTTCAAGAGGCCATAAATTTACCATATTTACATATGAATGTATATTAATGTTCAATTGTTAGTTGTTCATTTGTCAACAATATGATTTCTATATTATGGTAAAATAATTGCAGGCTTTTTATACTCTCTTTAAATTTTAATAATATTTGTTTAATATTGTACCAATTTTCTCGCTTTTCCTTCAGTTTTCCCATGTTTTTTCTCTTTTTGGGAAAAAGTCTGGGAAATATTAAGAAATTACCTCCCTTAGGTACCTCTCCAGTCTGAATTCCTTTTATAAAAGGTTCTGCACTTAAAAATCGGACCTAGATTTCTGATAAAAAAGTTGTGCACAAATAAAAAAAAAAAACATTTTGACTTTTATTGACTTCTAAAACACAACAGTTTAAGACGTGCATAACTGCACATAATTTTGTGCTAAATATGCATTGTTTAATATAATATACAATTTAAAAATGTATATAAACACTGTTTTTTTTTTTACGGCTGTGTTTCCCGAAAATCATATAAAATACTAAGGGTTCCATTATTTGAAAAATGTTGAGAACCACTGCATTAAAGAGTTACCAAAAAGTGGCCAAAAGTTCTTTAAAATACAGATTTGAGCTTTTAAACTTTTACATTCACTGATTAAAACATCCTAGATATTTCAATTCAATATATTAATTATTAACCCACGGGATTGTCTTGACTATGAAAATCAAACCAACACTCAACAATGGTAAATAAAATTATTTTTACATCAGAAGGGGAGTCACATTTAAACAGTTTAATCCTAGGGTGGCACTGTAAGTCTATCACTTACAGTCATAGTGCTACCCAAAAAAAATTTATTAAAATATGCTCTTATAATGTTTGTCTGTAAAAAAAATTTAAAAAATAGGACCTAGGTATTATATTTGGTGAAAAAATTGGGTCAATCCACTACCCTGGTTCAACACCCTGATCCAACATCGTTTAAATTAAGATTCGATTTAGAAAAAATGTATTTTTTTTTTTTTTTTGTTTCTTGTCGAGTAAACGTTGATAGAACGGTACCTTTTTTTTATTATTTTTTTTAACTTGTTAATTTAATAATTGTTCCGCTATATACCTATTTGTCGATTTAATTTAAAATTAAGAGGCAGGTTTTTTTTTTTTGTTTAAGTACGCATTAGTAAATTTATTATAAAACTGATTCGATTAAAAATATATGGGTACCGAAATAGAAAAAAAAAACTTTTTTTTTTTTAACTCGCGTATATAAATCCAATTATTGTCTGTAATTAACCTCGGAAACGGGTTTATATTTTAATCTAATAATGAAATTTTTGAAAGTTATTCTTTAGGAAAAAAATATAGATAGTTGAACAATGTCTGAATATATTATTTTTAAAAATTTTTTTTGGACTCGTTTCGTTCATCTGGCTTGACATATTAATGATAATAAAATAAAAAATACGTATTACTCACTTTCATAATATTAGTAGTTAGGATTTTGTAACTCTATAAAACTGTAAAAAAAAAATTACTTAAAACAAATCAAATAAAGCACAAAAATCTAAAAAATAAATCATCAAAACTATTTTCAAAAACCCGCAAAAAAATGCATACCAGACCAATTAGGTATGTTTTGTTTGTATGATTTAATGTATGAATATATTACAGTTTAGTTTGATATTCTAAATATTGTAGTTAAATACATAAAAATAAAATATAAACAAAAAAAAATGATTTAAAAAATATTTAAAAATCTGACGATGACAGCTAGTCGACAGCTGCTTATGAACATCTTCTTTAACTAGAAAATAATACAAAAAACAAAAAACTTTAACTTAAAAAAAGCAAAATAAAATTACGTGCGTTTTATTCTAAGTAGTGTAAATCAAATTTATAGATAACATAATTTTATTTTAAACCAATAAAAAAAAAAGATCTGATACCGGGGACGGGTATAGTCAATGTTATAGATTAGTAGTTAGGAAAAAATATAAGAGTGTAAAGGTGAGATACATAAAATTAATTAATTAATTAACCACTAACCAATGATAAATTATTGCCATTTTATCAGATCTAGAATGTATTATATTCAAAGAAAAAAAAATTTAAATAATAAAAGAATTATTTCTGTAAATTTTCCTGTTTTTTCCGTCCTAAAGAAAATCAAAAATTAACCTCCAGATAAAATTACTTTTCAGAAAATGTGATACCCTCGGTTCTCCGGAACAAGTTATCTGCTGGCGAAAAAAGCCTAACCCAACCAACCTCACAAACACAAAAAAAAATTTTAAAAAAAGCACATCATAATAAAACCAATAGATCTCTTTCTACGCTACGAATCTAAAAAAAAAAGCGAAAAATGCAAAACTACAAAATCTTAACTTTATTATCATGTAAAACATGTATCACTTCTATAAAATATTTCTAATCGTTTCGTGTTCTCTATCAGTAGGGCAGGGCCGGTAATCGGAGTTTTATTTTAAATATATTATTATATTTAATATTTTCCATCATTCTCGCGGAAGGTAATAAATAATGATCTAAGTGGCTATCGCGGTTATGTATTTAACTCCCTTTACCCTCCACCCCGCTCCATACTGTTTTATTTATAACAATATACTAAATTATCATATTATAAACGATCGGCGATGGATTTATATCCGTTTATTTGTCATTATTATAATTGTTGGCGGTTTTGATAAATGTCATTTGGTCACGGAACGCGCGGCAATCGTAGCGGGTACGGCCCGGTTTTATTAGAACGAAACCAAAACTTTTCGTAGTAATAATAATAATAATAATAATAATAATAATTGTCCGTTCGTGTTCGCACATATTCATCTCACGACATAATTGATTGCGTTCGCGAGGATTCGTCACGTCGAAAAATATGTTATAACGTATAAAACCAAAGACCATTTCGGCGTAATTCGTCTCTACAGTATACTGCGAAACTGTGTATATATTATATTTGTACACATTATAGTTATATGGTAAGTTAATGTAAGTACCAACGTTCAACAGCATCGGCAAATTTAATTTACAAACAATTAAGCGACGACGACGGCGACGTTAAATTAAAAAACCTGACATGACTACTTCGCGTCCTGCAGGATGTGGCACTGTTTTGGGTGGGTAGTTTGCCGGGTGGAGACATATAGGGTAATTTAATTTATATTTTGTATACGCAACAATAAATCATTGTAAACATAATAACGACTCTAAGGAGAGTTCGGTTAAATATATTTGGATAAATTTGAATCGAAAATTGAATTAATTTCAAACTAAAAAATAATTAATTACAATTATTTTTCTTTACGTGAGTTTTAACGTGAATTTGAACTTTGCAATTTGAACAGCATTTGTATATACATAAAAAAAACAAAAACTCGACAATTTCGAATAGTTATTTATAACTCAAAAATACCAGAATATATTGAAAATTGTTCCACGTCTAGAAAGAACTATTATTGTGGACACAAAAAGGCAGGTAAAATAATTGTTAAGAGTGCTAGAATCTTAAATATTTTTACATAAAATTTAAAAAATAATAAAATACTAAACCCACATACCAAAAAAAAAATACACATAAAAAATGTATTTACAAACTTGTCAAGAATTTACTTAGTTTCTATTTTATTCACCAAGTCTCATTCAATACGCGTAGTTTAATGATAAAATCGATTTTATCCTATACAATATGTAAACCAACTGTCTACCCAACACACGCAAAAGTAATACGTATGTATAATAGCGACTGTTTTTATTAATTTATAGAAATTTGGATGGAATTTATCAATGATGATTTTTTTTTTTTTTAATTCTTCATGTTTGTTATCAGGTGATAAACAATTTAATAGCAAAAATAAAAATGAAAAGTTATGTAACCAATAATAAACCGATTGATGAAACAAAAAATAAATTTACTGTGTGGGTAATGAGTATTTAAATGTAAAAAAGTGTTAAATACTATTATTGAAAGTATATGAATAGCATAACTAGGATTCAAAATTAAATTATTAACAATTTATTCATCAAAATTAAATAAAGTATTAAGAAAATAAAGTGGAATACCAACCGATCAATCAATAAAATTAACTTATAATAGGATAATTTAGTTTACATACTTATTACCTACATTTGATAAATGAATTCAATGATAAATTACCTATTATTTCAAACAAAAAAACGTTTTGAGCAAGATTAGTCAATTTTTTTTTTTTGATGAACTTAAAATGAATATTTTATTAATTTGTAACTATAAATTAAATTATACTATTCACGTTTTAAAGACATTTGAATTTTTAACACCCATGAAAAAAAAAATAATCCTAAATACGAATTTTTTATATTTTTTTTATAAATAATTAGTCTAAGAACAACTTATGAAAAATTGTTTAAACCATTTTCGAGTTAATAATCAAAACTATAAACAAATATCTCCACATAAAATAAAATCAAAAATGCTTGAAAATGCATACAACTAAATTTATATCAAAAAACACCATAATATTTCGAAAAATATATTACTTATACTAGAAATTACTAATTTTAGTATCCTAATATAATAGATACCTGAT